TGCAGCCACCACTCTTGCTCAGAGACAACAGGGCACAATGGTTGGAAAAGGGAGATGTATGTCAGGCTTCACTGAAGAAGGGAGGACAGGTGGTCACAGAACTATTAGGGACTTCTGTCAGCATGTGAGGAAAACCTGGGACAGCACTACCCCATTCAAGGCAAAGAAAGGGCTGGGGCAGGGCTCTGCAACTGCAGCAGGAGGTTGATGTCCAAATCTATAAGATGCCCAGTTGAGTTAGGCCAACCTGAGCTCACTGAAAATCAGAACTGAAGTCAGAAGGGTTTGGGCTGGGTCTATGGGCCTCTGAGGAGTGCATGGGACACTTTACACAGACAAAGACTTCAAGATTTGGGGCCTCCTGCAACACTGAGACATGCAGAAATGAGTGGGTCAAAGAAGAATGGGAAGCTTTCCTGGGGTGGATATGTGCACAGAACTGTCTGTGACAGGCACTGGGAAGTTCTAGGGCCTGCAAGGAACAAGGATAGTTGGTGATTTTTCTCCTGCTGACACAGTGTAGTACCTGAGTTCAAGCCCCACATGCAAAGTTTATGCTGGATCCATCTCCAGTGACCTCACCAGCTTTGGGATCAAAGTGAAAACTATGGCCAGGCAGCCTGTGTTGAGAAATTCTATAGCTGAGACTTTTACTGGCTCCACAGCAAGCATGCTGAACTCCACTTAGGGCCACTCCTGCAAAGCTCCTGCCTTTCCTTTCCCCTCTCCTTGTACAGTTTGTATTATTTTCAGTTTATATTTCTACAACTAAGTCTGTAATTCTTCTGCACATTAAATTCTAGCACAATTTACCTTTAAAGATAAGATACCATTTGTTTCATCATGTTCAATTCAGTAGCATATAAGTACATCATCTATTTGTACAATTTCCACATCTGTTGATTTCCAGCTCTCTGCTCAGTATTGGAATTACCCATAGCCCTGTCCTCTCATGCTATACCCCACCCACCTCTGACCTTTTTCTCACTGCAATTTAGTACTCTGGGTCTTTAATAATTGTTTATCAGATTCTGTTCAGTCAAATTTTACTGGAAGACACTGGCTGCTGTTGCTCTTTGATAGAAGAGAAAACCCCAGGTAGACAATTCTATCAGGAAAATGTAGAGACTATTGTGTATCTACTCATGCTTTCATTTTGGAAAATGTCCCCATGACTTCAGGGATAGAAGTAGCTAGAAAGGTCTGATTCATTGCATTTGAAAAACAGAAACAAGTATAATGTAGAAACTACAGCAAGAAACCTTTCCTTACAAGCCATAGTCAGACAGATAGTTTGTGATACAGGTGTAAAAGAGATGTCATGAGTTCATTCTGTGAGAGATGAAAAATTCTTATAAATCAAAAGAGAATCACCACAGGTGACCAACAAGGGCAGAAATGCTGAGCCTCCAAAGCTGATTCATGCAGGCACACATCCCTGAGATGTGCTGTGTCTCCATTTGATGGCAGGTTTTAAGGCAGGTCCTGAACAGCACTGGGGAGAACATGGGGGGCCAAGCAGAGCCCCATATTGCAGCTCCCATCAGAGTGCTACAACTTACAGAGGTTTATGACTTACAGAGAGCTGCACAACTTTGAAAGATTTCTTTTCAGGAGTTTGATTCACAGCTGTTTGAAGCAGGAAGAAACTGGGACCATCCCTATCTTCCATGTAAAGGGTGTGGGGCATCAGTGTGCACCACAGGATGCAGGGAAAGCTGGGGGGATGCTGAGTTTGGTCGCCATGGGTCCACAGGAAAAGAACCCAAGGAATCTGATCATGAAATAATACATGGGTGTGAGAATAAGGATCTTGGTTTTCAAAGTGAAATGTCTCTTACATTATTGGATTCTGTCCTAGATCCCGGATCTCCCATACTATTTTATGGTGGAGGTTAAATAAAAAGTGAGAAATTATATGATTTCTAGGGCTCCACTTGAGGGTAAAGACAAAGGATTCTCTGTTTCAGTCCACTTATTTTAGGACCAAGGACAAAGGGCAGACAAACTGAGGAAAGTACAATCAATGAGCAGGACCTTGGTGGTCACTTCAAGGATATCTCCTAATAATGAATCAAGTCAATTCAGTAGCACTGTTTTATCATGAAGACATGGTAGAAGTGAGACTGTAGGAGTAATCTTTGCTTCTGCAGGTCTACCTAGTTAACTGGTGTTGGAGCCAGACTGTCCACAGCTATAGCCTTATCTTGCCTTTTGAGGTATCTCTGGCCTCACAAGCCACTACAGGCCTCAGCCAGGACCTGTGATTCATAGAGGTTCACTTACTATGAATCAGCTCCCGTCTCCAGGCAAGGGGCCTGGGCCTAGGACAGATTCACAGCTAAACATAGAAAGCCAATTAGTAAAATTTAAATCCTTCTCAGAGCCGCTTCACCTCCTAGTGGTTTCCAACATGACATCAAGGTGCATCCACACATAGGCATGTAAGAATCTATGTACAAGAATGATGTCTCAGCACTGTAGTTCCTTGTGGTAACCCTGGCTCAAAATAAAAAAGAATTTTAAAACAGAAGTTAGTGTAGTTTAGTGCAAGGCCCTTGTCATAGTTTATGTCTGTGGCCCCCAGGCCTCATGCATTTATATTATGCCTTTGTGACTGGTTCATTGTTTATCCCTTGGACTGGGGGTGTGAGTGCTACAATGACCTAGGGGTGGAGCTGGGATGTGATGTAATGGCAGAAAGAAGGCCTGTCTTGCTCTTTTGCCTGTTTCCTCCTTGCTGTTTGCAGCAGCCATAAACTGTGGCCCCACCATGCCAGCCTGCCTTAAAGCTAACCGAGTATGGACTGATACCTCCAAAAACTGTAAGAAATAAACCTTTCCTTTCCCAACTTTTGGCATCAGGTATTTTGTCTCAGCAATCAGTATAAAGTAACTAGCCCTGCATTCAATTCCTAGAATTCAGTTAAGGAAAAAAAAAAACCCCAAAAAACTGGGAGCTAGGTGCAGGCCTGCAGAGTACCACTGCTTGGGCTTTCTGAAGAGCAATGTACCCCAAGTACCTTGAGCCTTCACACCTTTCTTTGGCAGTCTGATTTTAAAAAATGATCAGTTCCACGAGGGATGGTGAAAAGAGGATGTTCACCTAAGAATAAAAAATCTCAGTCACAGTGGAGAAGAAATTTTGAATTTTCTACTAAACATTATGGTGACCACAGTTAATAAGAAGGACAGCTTTCAAAACTGCTAAACAATAGGATTTGCAGTCTAGTCACTGTGAAAGAATTTCTAGATTAGTAAGGTGGTAGGTACATTAACTAGATTGATTCTTTCTACAAAACAGCCATAGATTGAAGGCACATTTTAATCCCATAAACACACATAATTATTGTGAATTTCTAGGTAAGGATAGCCTGTTCCTATACTCCCAGCACTCTGGGAGGACCACAAGTTTAAACTCAACCTGTGAAATTGAGTGAATTATTTAGAACCAGTCTCAAAAAAATTTTCTTTTAAAGTGCAGGGGCATATAGCTCACGCAGAAATCCCTAGGATCACTAAACATAGAATATAAAAAGCATAATACGAAACTGCATACTTCATACTAGTTTCATACTATGCAGTTTGAGAGTATATAGTTATATAAAATATACTATAGTTTCATAGTATATAAACTGCATAGTATGAAATATTTAATCTATTTATAAGGGTTTTCATATTTTCTTTATTAGTATCTACTTGTGCTACATTAAAATAAGATAAGAAGAAAAAGGGTTTGTTCATTTTGTTCTGAGATAAAGTCCTGCTATGTACTGCAGCCTGATCTTGAACTCACCAAGTATTTCAGGCTAGCTTGACATTCCCTGTTGATGCACCTGTCTACCCCTCCAGAGTGCTGGGATTACAGGCATGAACCACCATGCCCAGCAAGAAAATGTTTTTTTAAAATTTATTTTAAAGAGAATGAAGCCAAATGAAACAAAACAGAATAGAGTCAATCAAAATAAAAAGACGAACATGGTACATGACTTAAAAACAAAATCCAACAGTAGGTTGTGTGGCCTGTCTCTCAGTCTGCACAGAAAATGACTCAACATCTTGCTGAACTCCAAATTTTCCAAGATAATTGGACAAATACCTAGATTATGAAAGATGTAAACATGACTTATTTAGGCACCAGTTCATGTCAAGTGTCATGGAAAGAACATAGAACTCTGAATTAGTATTTCCAAATTCTGGAATTTATCCCAAGAAAAAATGATATATGCTCAATGCAATTTTTCTAAGAGGAACTAGACTTTTGTACATGGTGAGTAACAGGATAACTAAGTAAACCTCTACCTATGCATATAATATAAATATTCAACACCATGCAAATATATAAATGATATTAGCACAACTGGGTAGTAATGTTTAGAGACAGCCGAATATGGGCAAAATGAGTATTCTGTAGCAAAGTTCAATTATGTGGGTGAATTATTTTTATTTGTGGATTTAAATTTTTAAACCTTACTGATCACACTTTGCCTTCTTGTCAAAGCCCCATGCTGCATTCAGGCTCCTCACAAAAGCTAAACACCAAGCTGGCACCAATATTAAAAGAAGCAGAAACCCCTTATCAATGGAAGGGACTTGACCTAAAGCATGTGCAGGTAGAATAATAACTGCTATCTTACTGTTATATCTTGGTCCTCTCTCAGTCTCTGCAAGGAGGAGCTCGGAGTGAAATGAAATCGTCATTTTGGCGGTAAATGTCCCTGACACAGCACAGCCAGGCTCACTGACAGCAGAGGCCATGTGAGACCTGAGCCACCTCCAGCAGGTCCCAAAGAGGACTGGGCTCCCAGCAGCGCCTGGTGGGGGCCAGGGACGGGGCCGCGCGCCACTCCTGGCTGTGCGGACCCCTGAAGGAGAGGAGGAAGGAAGGGAGAGAGGGGCCTTGCGGGCTGAGGCCGGGTCGCCCCCAGAACCGCGCCCGCCGCCCTGGGCCCGCGACCCCGCCTTCAGGACTTCCCGACGAGGAACCTGCATCCGCTAACCTCGGGGCCACCTGCCGCGCTTCCGCTCACAGCCGGCTTCCGCCCGCCTACCTGGCCCAGACCCAGTCCCGGCGCCGCCGCAGGCTAGGCCGCTGAAGAAAGAGCGTTCAGGTCTCCACAGGGTTTCTCTAGCGGCAAAATGGCGACTTAGTGCACAATACCGGCACCCACCGTGAGGGCGAGACCAGGGGCGGCGCGGGACTGAGTGAGATGTGCAGGCACAAGGCGAGGGACACTCCGTGGGCGCGGCACGCACAGGTTGGGCCAGGTGGAGTGTAATCTTCGCTTGAGGCCAGTGGTGGGAGTCAGCCGCTTGGAGGCGGGGCAAGGGGCGTGGCCAGAAAGTTGGGGCCCAATAGGTATGTAGTCCTCCTGTGGGGGAAAATGAGGAAGGGGGCGTGGCATTGGGAGCTTGGGTCAGGCTGAAGGGAGGTGTGGTTGCAGGTCTCTGATCAGGCTTGTGGGAACTCTGAGCCCCAGGCCTGCTATGACAGGAAGCAGAGAGTGGACTGAGTCTGAGGCTTGGAATTTATGGATGTCTGGACTCAAGTCTTCCCAGGCCTGACACCTTAGCACACTGCTTCTCTTCTAGGAGCCTCAATTTCCACTATTCTTGTTCTCCTATTATTTCCTTTTGAAACATTGTGGGGGTTTTTCCATTAAAAAAACAAACTATAATGAATGGCAATACTCATCTCTTGGCACTGCTGTGAAGATCCAATGAAGAGATCGTCCCATGATTCCTAGCATATAACAAGTGCTCAGATACAATTGTTATTTGTGTTGTTGTCCTTTTATTACAGAGAAATGAGTGCTTTCGGTATCCATCATCTGATTTCTTTATATCTTAAAAGTATCTTTATACGGGGGCTGGGGATTTAGCTCAGAGACATAAGCAACTGCCTTGCAAGTAAGCAGTCATGAGTTCGATCCCTGGTACTGATAAATGAAAAAGTATCTTTACATGTTAATATAACATATTAATAAGCATATGTAGCACTTATAGGTGTCAGGCCAGGGCTCCTTTGAGATGCTTTACATATGTTAATTCTTACAAGAGTGTGAGTTAGGAATTATCTTCATTTTCATAGCTGTGTGAGCCTACACACCAACATTAATACGTTTTCCAATAACAAAGCAGTGGACAGAATTTTAACCCAAAGGGCCCAACACCAACATCTCCGTTAACTAACCCATAATTAGCGCAGCACCACTGCAGTTCTGCTTTGGATTTTTCACATGAGTGAGATATGAAATTGTTCAGGGGAGGTTGCACAGGTGGCTAGTGGTAGTTTGTGTCAGGGTTCACTAGAGGCTCAGATTTAATTTGTGTGTGTGTGTGTGTGTGTGTGTGTGTGTGTGTGTGTGACAGACAAAGGATTTATGAAGGAGGCTTAGGAAGGCCATCTGCAGAGTCAGGTGGAGAAGAATGCAAAAGGGCCAGGTGCTCATTGGAGATGCAAAAGATCTAGTCACAAGTCTGAGGCCAGGAGCTCACAGTAGGAGTCCTGGGAGAGTCTCTGGCAGGAAGCAGAAGAAGCTGTGCTAGGATCCTGGAAATGACACCTAAGGTGATGCAAGGACTTGAACTCTTCTGAAGAGGAAGAAGCCAGACTTTCTCCTTTCCCTTTTACTGCATCCAGGATGCGGGACTATTGGTCAGTAATCCACACACAAACACAAAACTGTGATAAAACAATCAGCTAGGTGTTCTTTGTGTGTTTGTTGTTGGTTTTTTGAGACAGGATTTTGCTATGGAGTTCAGGCTGGCCTTGAACTCACTGTATTGCTCAAGCTAATCTCAAACTCAGATTTCCCTGCCTCAGCCTCCCAAGTGCTGAGTTTACAGGTTTGCACCACCACACCCTGTTCTTCCTTCCTTTGATTATACTGATTCCAGCATTCTTGCCATTTTCTTCTGAGTCAATTCTGGAAGTCCTCTTATAAGGATCTTTAGTTTTGCTTTTGTGGCTGCCCTAACGTCTTGAATGAGTTCAAACTGTTTACCTTTCATTGTCATTTTGATTTTGTAGAAGAGTCAGAAGTCACAGGGTCCAGATCGTGTGAATCAGGTGGATAAGGGCACACCATAGTGTATATATGAGCCATTCTTCCATTGGATGGCACTCAGCAGCAGAACTCACTATATTTTTTTATCTCAATTTGTAAATACACTCGCAAAAGAGGACTTCCAATCTGCTCCAGAAATTGCAAGAACAAATGGAGATGTGAGTTTGAAGCAAGGAGGTGTATGTTATTTAATTTATTTTCAGAATGTGTTTCTTAAGAAGGATTAATGAGTATGTATCTCTTATTGTAGTAAATGTAAAGAATTTGAATCTTAGCTGTATATTTTGATCAGCCCTTGTACTTCTTCCTTGAGATTATTAATTAAACTTCTGCATATTCTGTGTCATTTATACAAAATGATTGGGACAAGAAGTGTTTTGAATTTCTGATTTTTTTATTTATTGGTGAACTTGCATAGACATAATAAGTTGTCTTTAGGATGGGACCCAAGTCTAATCATGAAATTTATTTATAGTTCATATATACTTCATACTCAGAGTCTGAAGATAATTTTATACAATATTTGTATTAATTTTGTGGTTAACATGTGTATTGTGTTGTTTCTCTGGTGTGGGAAACTGAAAATGTAGATAAGGACTAAAATAAAATAGATATTTGAACATTTTCTAATGAGATGGGGAATTATGGATGGAGGAGGGAGAAAGGAAGAAGGGAAATGAAAAAAAATGAGGAGAAAAGAAGGAAACAAGCCTTCCGTAAACAAGGAGGGGAAGGGAGTTGAAGGAAAGGTAGGGGAATGGAGAAAAAAAAAAAAAGATTCATATCATGTATGTTACAAATTTCCCACGGTTAACATGATCATTATTTACATCTAAAATGTACCAATAATCTTAATTAAATAACATTTTGTGTTTGATACAAAATTTCTTTTTCTGGAATTTCTCAATTTGGCACTAAATCAGTACTCAAAAGTTTTGGATTTTGAAGCCTTTCAGACTTCAGATTTCAGATTAGAAATTTTCAGCCTATACTTGGATAGTGATTTGATAAATATCCCCCTACATCAGTAGACCATAAGCTTCATGCTGAGAGTATGAGAGCAGTCTCTTTGCCTCTATTGGTGTCATAGTTTATGTCAGTGCCCCTCCCAAGCATCATGCAATAATGAATGTGGCCAAATCCAGTATTTCTGATTGGTTCATTGTCTAGCATTCAGATTGGTGGTATGAGTGCTACACCTGCTCAGGAGTGGAGCCAGAATACACTGCACTATTTTGCAGCATCTTCTTCAGCCTTGCATCTTTGGCCATCAAGAATAAAGAACAAGGCTCTTGTTTTCCTAAGGAAAACAAGAGGACAATGGGTGGTGCTGCAGTAGGAATCAGCAGAGGCCTAAATCAGGTCACCATGCTGGGGAGCTTTGAAGTTTCATCATTGGATCCTCTAATTTTTCTTTTTCTGTTTGTCTCTCAATGATTGTTTTGGTAATTATGGTAATATTTACATATTTCAAGAAGTACAGGGGCTGGGAATTTAGCTCAGCGGCATAAGCACCTGCCTTGCAAGCAGGCAGTCGTGAGTTCGATCCCTGGTACCGATAAAAAAGACAAAAAAAAAAAAAAAAAAAAAGAAGTACAACAAACAAGGAGAAAAATTAGAAATATTTGCTCTTTTTCTATGTAGAGAGGTAACTATCTTTGGTACATTTTTTAGCCTCCCTTTTCCTGTTAATGATTTATTGTAGATGTGGTTCCAGGGTGATTAATTTAGGTTTACATCACTGTAACAGTAATCAGTGAAATAGGAATTAGAATTCTACCAGGCATTAAGGACAGCAGCCCCAAAATGGAGTCAGGAAGTCCAAAATGGAGCCTGCTGAGTTGTGACCTTCCCGGGACCTTACAAAAACATCTGCTGACTCTCCTGCAGTTTCTTGGGACCTGTCAAGATCATGATCATACAGGACATTGGCTGAAGGGTACATGGGCTGTGCATGGGCACTGGGTGAACACTTGTTGGCCTGTTTTTTGTACTCAATGAAGATTGTGTTGGGTGAGGTCACAAAATTAGAGAATGTACATGTTGAAGACATCAGCAACAGTGGTAGGCAGAGTGAAACAGAGCAGAAAACCACTGTTATTGATGTATAATTCTTACACAGGTAGTTATCTCATATTTACATTCTTGTGCAGTGCTCTAACCTGTTCATATGAGTTCACCTATGCTAAGTCATGGTTACATAACTGTACCAAATTATGTGCTTGTGCAGACAAGCAGGGTCATGTCCTCAGTTGTCTTTAGATGTCCCTGAACTGTGAAACAGTCTGAGTAGTTCCCTACAACAATACATAGATTGAACCCTGAAAAGTAGGTAGCATTCCATACGGTAGCTCTTTTCTAAACCCATTAACAACTTCTAGATAAAGGATCCCTCATGGGTATCCTACTCAGAACCTGCTCCTTGCTGGTGGGAACTTTACTCCCTTGCCTTTACATCTATCAGAGAGGTGGAGGTTAAGGGGTAAATTGCTTGTGAATTCCCCAAAGACAGCAGGGAGGCAGACCTCAGTACATCAGCAGCAGCAGGCAGCAGGCAGGGAGAATTGTGTCTTTATCGTCCAGCCTCTGTATATGTTGTTATGTTTACATTCTTGCATGCTGGCCTCCCAGTGGTGCCACAGGCTGATGACCAAGCCTCTACCACAAGGATCGCTGAGGGACAATTACAATCCAAAGCTACATACACACAAACAAGAAGCATTTCTCATGTGTGCATCACTCAGGAGCCAACACTGGTGTCCAACTCACGTCGCCTGCACTTCCTTCCCCTCAGTGGGACACTGCACTTCTTACAGCAGAGGCAAAAGAATTTTTACTCATTATTCAATGTCAACTACAAAAAATAGATGTCTAAAGAAATTGTACATGGGAAACTGTTTTGAAATTCAGCTGCACGCCCTCAAGGCAGCCCCATAAAACAAATGCAGTGAAGTTTGTTGTAGAGGATTCCCAGAGTTATTTTCAGAGACAGCTCCATGATTACACAGACTTCTGAGTCACATGTGCATCTGACTGTTAGTTAACAAGGATGTTCCTGAGTGAGAGGTGTTGGAGGAGGAGGTGAAGATGTTCATTTGTTCTCTAAGTCAAGGGAACATCCTTCAGTTTCACCTTCAGCGTACTGTCCTGTAGCCATTTCCTGACTTACCTCAGAAAGTCTTAGCTTTCCTGATTTTGTTTTATTGTCTTTCACAGCACTGACTTTTAAGGCTTCTAGTGG